CGCGACGAAGGGGCTGGGAGAAAAGAAGGGGCTTTACTCTAAAAAAAATCCAACCCTAGATAAAACCGCTTTCTGAAGATATATTTACAGATCCCTGAAAGCATTTTTGTTACATTTAGGAGATTCTTCTTTAAAAAAAAAAACGCCCCTGTGAACAATATCGCTGAACTTTAATGGGCGTGTGTGCGCTTGTAGTTTATATTAACTCTGGGGCTGAGTTTTCCTTCTTCCACTGTTTTTTTCCCCAGGACACTGACCTAGCCTTTAATTGTTTGGTGATAGGCATGTAAGGGGGAGGGGCGTTACTTGTTTATTGGAACAGCACAGTTAAAAAAAAATCAACCTAGGCGAACAGTTTCTAGTCCCCCCTAAGGATGTATCAAAACAGGCAACCAATCAGCTCTTACACAGCTTTTTCAGCTTGTCTTTTTTAAAGGGACAGTAGCAAACGGGTTATATCACATTTAAAGAGAAAGATACCGACGGGGGAGAGGGGGCAGAAAGAGAGGCTAGAGAGAAAATTCTCCCAGTTCTTAAAAGGGTCTAACTTTAGGCTTCAGGAAAAAAAATGAACCGCAAATCGGCGCCTGTACTTCATAAAGAGGGAGGGGAAATGGTGAGTTATTGTGACAAGGAACCAAGGCGCCTTTCCTGGGTGTAGGCATAGCCCTTGACAAATTCATCTCTGAGGTTGTATAATTTGTAAGTCGCATATTTAAAGACCTCCAAAATGTATTATTATTTGAAAAAATGCCAAGGGACCATGCTTGATCGATCTTCTTCCCCGTCAAAAACAGTAAAGCAAGCCACAAAAATGGGGTAGGTGGGGCATTCCGTTTTGAGGCATTTTGAGTAAGTTTATGGTTAACACGGTAACATTTTCGTCTAGTGATTTCAGAAAGAGCAGGAGGGCGAGATTGCGGCCCCCCACCCCCCTTCGTGGAAGAAGCAAAAATAGCCTGGGAAGACCAAACGAGCTGGGGGCGGGGAGAAATGGAGCATTTAAATGCTTAAACAGCACGTTCCCGTTAATTTTTATTTAGAATTAAGTCCCGTTGAGTTCCACAGGATTCTCTTCCGAGCAGGCTGCAAAAATATAAATGGCGATAGGGCTACCACGAGGCCCCTTTCCAAAACATCCAGCGTTGTCTAGAAACATTCCGGCTGCGCCTCTCAATGCCCACGTTTCCTGGGAGATGAGCCCCATTGAACGGAGTGGGATTTCCGAGTAAGATGGGGGGGTGCGCCCACTTCCACGCTCTCGGCAGCGCCTGGTGGTTCCGCTGAAGAGCACACGGCGGTGGTGCAAGAGGCTCGAGCATGGCAGCGCTGCTCGGGCCGCGCTGAGCACAGCCATGTGGAAGGCAATGGGGGAGAGAAAGCGGGCGAGCGGGAGGGAGGGGAGCCCGGGCGAAAGGGAAGGTGAGCACAGAGGGGGAAGAGCGAGAGGCAGCTGCGGTTAGGGCAAACGGGGGGTGGGAACTGTGCGTGGCCGGAGAGAACGGCATGCGGATTCAGAAGACGGCTTGAGAGGCTGGAAGCGGACAGGGGAAAGGTGAATCGGGAGGGATGCAAAAAGAGAGCGTCTGGCGATCAGGCTGGGATTAGGGAAGGGTACCTGGGTTGAGGAGGGAGCCGGGTAAGAAAGGCAGCGAGGTCCCAGCTCAGCCCCTAGGCAGCAGCAGCAGCAGCAGCAGGAGGAGGAGGAGCGGCAGCAGCGGCGAGGGCCCCCTCCCCGCCGGGAGGGTCCTTTAGGAAGCAGCCCAAGGATGCCTCTCCTCGCCTAGCGCCGGCTGGCAACATCTCCCTTGGTGCCACCTTAAACTTTCTGTTCGAGGGCGGAGCAGCCCTTCCCCCCGCAGACTGCCGATTGGCCGGGGAATGTATCCATTGTGGAACGTTGACGCCCGCCGCGTTCTATCCCTAGTGTAGCCACGTTCGGTTGAGCCGGGGGCAGCCGCGGTGGCGGCAGCGGTAGGAGCAGCTGGGAAAGAAGCAGGAGCCGAGGACAGGGGCAGGGCGATGGGGTCGCGGCCGGGGCTTTGACAGCTGCAACCAGGACGAGCGGTGCACCGACAGCGGAAGCCGAGCCAGCTCCAGCGGAGGAAAGGCGCGAGGTTTGGGAGACGGGAAAGCATCGGAGAATTTCAGGCAGCGGCAGCAGCTTTAGTTTCGCCTCTTTCTTACTGCGGACCATGTTCGCGAAAGGCAAAGGCTCGGCGGTGCCCTCGGATGGGCAGGCTCGGGAAAAGTAAGCGTCGAGGCAGCGGAGGGGACCTCGGGGAACTAGACTCGGCTTCTTCAGGCGGGCGTTCTTCTCGCTCCTTTATTGTCTTGTGGGGAGTTGGGGCATCTGGAAGGGAAGAGCATGGAGGCTGAGATATGGGGGGGGAGGTGAAGAGTCTCCTCAGTGGGGGATCTACGGCTTTCGCGATTCGGGGAACGGGTCTCGAAGCAAAGGGCGGCGGGTGTAAAAACATGATGGAGGAACGCATGCAAGCTTGCATCGTCCTTTTGTCTGGCGTGGTTGTCCGTCTGTGCAAGTGGAAGGGTGAAAGGCTTTGTCCAGACAAGGCGCGTTTGGTTGTCTTCTCCTTGGCCCGCCTCGCTTCCTACCTTGCTTCTAGAGTTTCCAAGTTTGGCAAAAGCGGAGGATTTAGGCGCGGGGTGGGCAGCGGCGCGCGGGGTGGGGGGAGAAACTCCTCTGGGATCAGTCTCGCATCCCCAATTTCTTCAAGAAGCCGGTGAAGAAAGGCCGCCCTCCATTCCGCCACCGACTTTAACGGGGTGCAGGAAGCTTTCCTGAGGATGCTGGGCTGCCTTTGGGGGATGCGCCGAGAGAAGTTGCATTTTGTGCCCTGCAGTGAGCGGCTCTCAACTTCTCTTTGAGGTGGGACGGGGTGCGCTAGAGGCAGGTCAGGAAGTGCTGTTCCTCCACTGCCGCGGTGGTAAGCCGGATTCATTCCCTCTTAAGAAAAGGGTGCTTGGTGTGAACGTGGAACAATTCCATGAAGTCCTCTTGCTTATCCCCCCCCCCCCCCGACTTTCCCTTCTTTCTCCCCAGCCACTTTTTTTTTAATGCTGTCTTTTTACAGGTTAGCTTTGTATGTCTATGAATACTTGCTGCACGTAGGAGCACAGAAATCAGCACAGACGTTTTTATCAGAGGTGAGTGACTTTGTTTACTTTTGACCCCTTTCCCTCCCCCCCTTAGATAGCCTTTGTTTTCAGAAAGCAGGCACAGTGGCCTCCATTTTGAATTTTTTATCACCTTTTGCCATTTATTGCTAGTTGGCCTCAGAGGCTCTTTTGGGAAGGGGGGGGTAGCAGCAAGAGTGGAAGAAAACAGCATCTTTTTCTTCAGGTCTGTGACCTAAACCTCTTTGTATCCTTTGCTGTTCACAGATCCGATGGGAAAAAAACATCACACTAGGAGAGCCTCCTGGGTTTTTACATTCATGGTGGTGGTGAGTGTTGCTTCTTTTTCTTCTTCCTAGTAAAAAGTTCTTTATTTGACTAATTGGAAGTGTTGTGGAGGGAAGACTATCCCAAGCAAACCATTTGGTTTGATCTTACATTTTTATGTTAATAAACACACATTACTATAGTATAAGGTTGTCTCTTCAGCCTAGGTAGAAGTTACTTGAAAAAGTATTGAAGAGAATCTTGGGAACAGTATTGTGGTTCTTTTGGAATTTCTCCGACCTTGTATCCTCAGACTAGAAATCATGTTATACAAAAAAAAATTTTTTTTAAGAGATGAAGCTTTGTTATTGTTAGAAGGTTATTTAGTGGTTTTGTTTGAACAAGAAGATGATATGTGGAGCCTTTATGAATGTAAAATATATTGCTCTTCCACTTGCCTTTTCATTGGGGACTGGTATTTTGTAGATCATGCCTTTTCAGAATGTTTAGTTGAGAAAAAAAAAAAGAATCTGGTGACTAGGTTACTAGCTCCATTTATAAAAGTTTGAGACGTGTTGCCAGTTTATCTTAAACTTGTTCCAAAATTTTTGACAATAAGATTCTCCTTTGTGAGTGCACATGCATGGTAGAGGTAGCGTAGTGGACAAGTTCAGTGTGACTGAAGCAATTATACAACTTGTAGCACGATGCTGAGCGATAGAAACATTTCTAACGCCCTGGTCTAGATCTTCTTTCTTGAATGTAAATCCTATTGATTCTAGGAAGAATTCTTTCATCTACTGCAGTTATTATGTGTTAATGCTGCTACCAGCACATATATATGGTTACGTGGTTGGCACCTGAAGATCACATCTAAGACATAGTAAACAGTTGAGGGACACATGTTGCTCAGATAGCCCAATTTTCTGAGGATGCTTGAGTGATAGTCATATGGTATCATAGGGCCACATTAATCTCAATCCAAAGACTACTTTCTTGCATAGTTAACCGAACCATGGTTTAAGGAATTTGTCCAGTTTTCTGATTTGTGTGGCACACAAAGATAAAATGTGGCCTGCTCTTTTGCAGCCACAGAATAGGAAAGTTTCATGAGGTTCTCCTCCTAGTGTGTAGCTTAAGAAACATTTTTGGGAACTGTTTCCCAGTTTGTTACGTATTTGGCCTTCTTGCATAGCATTGTTCCATGCACTCACTACTGGGGACAGCTAAGTAGAAAATAAAGTATTAGCACCTGGAATTTTTGGTATTTGAAAGACAATAACACAGGAGCACTTGGGGCATTTTCTGACTTATTTGCTGGGAGGCCAAAGTTATGAATTATGTCTATATCCCACCCTTCTTTCAGGAACCTCCAGATGGCATACCTGGTTTTCCTTTCCTCCCCCTGCCCCCTTTGGTCATTTTGAGATAGGTTAGGCTGAGAAATAGTAAGTATCCATGTGAGCTTAATGGATAACTGAGTATTTAAACCTGAGTTACTTAGTATTAGTTACGCTCATGTTAGATACTATAAAGTTTCTGTAAATTAGCATTGTTTATATAGAGGATGCATTCTGAATTTTATTATGGGGGGGGTATAATGACAATGCTTATATGTGCCAATTTCAAGACAGAAGAGGAAATCAATGTTGTATTGATAGTATGGTCTTGAATGTCAAACTGAAACATCTGTAATGGATTGCAGTCCGGTTTAGAAGATAGCTGCTGATGTGGAGTGGGACATGTTCAGGTTTAATAAAGTAATATGACAATTCAAATTGGACATACTCTATTTCCAGCAAGAGGGTGATTAAAAGCACCATGGAACATGCAATAGATCCACACATAAACTTCTGTTTGACTGCAGTGGCAAAATAGCAGTATGGTCCAACTCTGGTACAGGAAACTTAACCTTCTAATATTGCGGGGAGGGAAATGTTGAAACAGAGTTAATAGGCTCTTAAAGTGGAGACTCTACTGTACATTGAAACCTTGCGTATTTAAATGGGTATCTTGTCTCTCTTTAGTTGGGTATAGTTGAAGGTGAAAGTCTCAAGTGGAACAAAAGTGGTATGTTTGCTGCTCCTTGAGTAAAGGTCGAACAAGATTGAGGAGTACCACTGTTTCTGAACCATTAGGCTCATTTGGATAAAACCACTGTATGTCTGGGGATGTATATTGTATAAGTATTAATGACTGGTTCCTCTCTTCCTTTCATTTTATAGTGTATTTTGGGACCTTTACTGTGCAGCTCCTGAAAGGCGAGATACTTGTGAACACTCAAGTGAAGCAAAAGCCTTTCATGATTACGTGAGTAAAAAAGTTATCCCTTGGTTAATAAACTTTGATTGCTACAGTTGTTCCAAAGCAAATGCAGCTAGGTCGGGAGAGAAAAGGGTGTTACCACTGCCATTCTGATGATGTTTAAATACTGTTTTATAAAGTCACAGCTATGTGAATCCAGTTCAGTGGCTTCTCTTGAATACTTTAAGGTGGAGCGTATTGATCTGTTTACAGAGTCATGTGTCTTCCTAGGAGCATGGAGGATAAGGAAAAGGAAAGAGATGCTATTTATCATGAGGAAATCTAATGTGCAAACCTCTGACATAAATAGAGGCCTGCATTTGAATGTGGTCTGTTCTTTCTTTAGAAGGAAATCTTTAAAAACTCTTCAAGGCCTGTGAGTATTTAAGAATTTATCAGAATGCTGCTGTGCAGTGCAATCCTGTGCATTTTTTATCCATAAGTGAATCCTATTGTGTTAAGTGGGGCCACCCCTCGCTAAGTATGCATAGAATTGCAGCCTCAGGAGAGCCAATAGCTTCTGTTCCAGATAGCAATATGAAGATTTTTTCCTTTCCCTTAAGACTGCAATGCAGACTTCATTATTTCTTTAATTTTTAATAGGCGTGGGGATGACTACAAACTAGCTGCAAAAGGAAAATTATTTTCAAGAGGCCTAGGTGATGCATTCAGAGGTTGACCTAAGAGGCATGTCTTAGTTTTCTCCCCTGTCCTTATATGAAGCCATAAATGGGTTCTTACCTGGAATTAAATAATTGGTATAAGTGGGGTGACTGGAGATCCAGAAAGTGAACTTGTCTACAGCAACATAGCCCAAGAAGGAGGACGCTTGAAATATCCTATGTTGACTATCCTGTTGGGTGGGGCATTGTCCCAAGTGAACTGTCCCAGATAAACTTTTGACTTGTTGTCTTATCTGATGTGTTGGTCTCTGGCTTACCTGTGATGGCAGAGGACAGCGTCCCCAGGAACATGTAGAAGTGGTAAAGGAATAAGTATCAAAGGGAAAGAAAAAGTTAATTTGTTAAAGTAGATTCATCAGCAAGTTAAATACGTTGAATATTATGCAGCGCAAGAAATTGGGGAGTGGCGGGAGGAACTGAGTTTGGCAACATAGTTGACAACAGCCTCATTTAAAAAGTGGTTCATCTTGGAAGGAGGACTCACTAGTTTCAGTCATTTTTGTGCCTGAGTTTTAAGTCAAGACTCCGGTAGAAACGGTTTCCTAATTTCTAGTGACATCCATAGAATTGCCTTAATCATCTGGTTCTTTCACTCTCCAACTCCCCAAGGAAGGGCTTCTTGGAAAGAATGGCATAATTTGTGCAACTTCCCTGGTTGAAGTTGGAGAATCCTTACAGGTTATTCAAAGTTACTCACAGAAACCCCCATGGATGCAATGAGTTCTGGTATGTCTTCAGAGTTGAAAGATACCCTTTGGAAAAAAAGAATTCCCCGTTTCCCTATCAATTGATAGCTTTAATTTAACCCTTCTTGATGCACCTATCTTGAGAATATGACTCTATCTCTTAGAAAAATTATAGATGTTTAGCCTTGGATCTGATTTTCTATTTTTTGTCTGACAAAATTCCTAAAGGGACTGTTGTATTCAACAGAGAATAGAAATTGTTTTTCTGATTTTTTTTTTAATGAAGAAACAGTACCTTCTGTTTAAAGAAGTGTGTGCACTGCAATGACATGTACTAATTGACAGGCTAGGTCCTATTTTAAAATGAAGGGACAGCGACACTCAACTTAGCCCTCAGATATGGAGTCTTTGAAAAATGTGCTTTAGTTTGCAACCTTTGTCTCTCCCCCACAGAATTTCCTGAAAGCAATTTCCTGAGAAGGGAGAAAGTGGTCAAACATGTGTTTAGATACATTTATCTTGTTGTTTAGAGGAACACAGTATCCTGAAGTGTCTCACCTCAGTCAGAAGAGAAGGCACAGGCCCCAGGCTGATACACAAAAAAAGACAATACACACCAAGGATGAGAAGTAGTGGGAAGAGGAAAATCAGTTTGAGAATGCCAGAACAAAGTGGTAAATTTGTAAATCAGTATATAATATGTATCTAGCTTTGATTGTCTATTAGTGATATTCTTTGAATAGAAGAGACTAGTAGTTTTCTGACCAGTAACAGAAGACAAGAGAATCCTTCCCTACAATTCTGCATTTCTGGGAGAAACAATGCTGGAGCAGAGTGGCTGTTATTACAGAGGGCAAGGAAACCCCTTAGATCTCCTCAAGCCATCTTCTTATTGCCATGATTTCTCCTTACATGTTCAGCCTTGGAATATTTGGTGATCCTGTTGGGTAAAAAAACAATTCCAGTGCCAGCAGTAGGAAGGAGACTCCAATCTGAAGAGATCTTGGGGAATAATATTTGTTTTTCTCTCCTAGAATAAATACTGACTATTTATATGATTGGGAAAAAGGTTACTGTTGCTTTTAGAATTATTAGTGAATTGGGGCAAGCCTCTTCCCTTGAGCGATGGCCACCTCATTTTTATTTCCTAACTTCTGTTTGTGTAAAGAGCCTGCAAGCATCAGAGTTTATTTTTTATTATGCTTGAAAAAGTATTTCTTCCTTCAGCTTTTCATGCTACATGTAAGGACCAGGATCTTAATAGCAAATCAGCCATGTTTGGTTGCTGGTTTTTTTCAAGGTCATCTGCTGATTGTAGGTACTTTAGAGTTAAAAGCTATTCCTTATGCAACATGACTTAATATTTTTTTAAAAAATTGTAGACTTCTTAGTTAATTGGGAAAAAGAAAAACAGAAATTCATAGATGGTTGCTGTCTTTATTATGGCCGGTCAAATGACCACTCAAATTTATGCAAGCTTTTGAGTTCTCTAGAGCTGTTCAGCAATCAAGATGTTACAAAAAACAGGGAGTGGGGAAGAAGGAATTGCTTAATATGATATTTAATTGTGGCTGTGGTAGGAAATCCAATAGGATGCAAAGCAGAAGGCAGTTTTTCCTACCCTTACATTCTCTGGTTCCCAGAGTTCACAGTTCCTGGCTGTGTTGGCTAGGAATTTTGATGATTACTATCTCAGCATGTCTGATAGATGTAACGTTGGGAAAGGCTGGCATAAGGTGTAGAGTTGTAGTGCTGGCATGCAAGATACAGTAATGCTACATTAGCAGCCTTAGTGTCTGAGGATTTACTGTATTTAGAGAAATTAATCTTTTTTAGCTTGGTAATAATTCTAATAATAGGCAAGAGTGTATTAGACGATTCACATAAACTTCTTTAATACATGTTGCTTAAAGCTTACAGCAAATAGATACAATCCTCATTGAGGTTTTTAAAATTCTCAGTATAATAACAGTTTTGTAATACTTCTAAGTACTTTACCTTTTTAATTTTATTATAAGGAGATTTTCTGTTTCCCATTCTCATCCTTTCACTATACTATTTGTTTTTAAAGCCCTCTTGGTCACAAATACATATGGTTAATATGTATTTTCATAACTGTCTTGGCTTTAGTTACTGATATTTCAAATAGTAAAGATGCTTTTACGTCTCTCTAGAATTAATACTTTCCAACAGGCAATATGTAGCGTGCTTGCCATTATATACCATCAGGAGGTTGGTGGCGTATACGTTTATATGTGTGTATATGTATTTACACATACCTTTTCAAGCAAGTTATAATATAGGAGCATGTTAAGAACCTTGCCATGTGTTTTATAGCTGCTGTGTCCACATAAAATACAGATAGGCTAATACATTTGAGGCAGTTTTGTTTCCATCCACTGTGAATTATTTTCAGGATTGTTCTGCTCTTACAGAGATAGTGTTCCTTTGGTTTTGGAGGACACAAAGATGAAAAGGCAATTTCTGGTGAATAGGAGGAGCAAGAAGAGATTTATAATCCCAGGCTATTCTTCTCCCAGGGAAGTTGGATCAGGTTTCAAATGCGTATGGTTCTTGCCTATGCCTGGCTAATCAGAACCTTGGATTACAAGGTAGTTGCTTATTGGCCAAATGTACAGCTAGGATCTTTTTTTTTTTTCTCCATGTGCTCTTGGCCCCTACCACCATAGGGAGGTGGGTAGAGTAAGCGCTGTGCATGGTCCTTTTGAACTGTCAACGAATGAATGAATGAATAGTGACCCACTCAGAAAGGTTTCTAACTATATGAGAGAATAGTTGGTTGCATGGTTTGGAATGGCAGAAGGTGGAAGTTTGAAAGGATGCTTGATGTGAAATGTGTTAACAACTGTTGCTGTTTATGGTCTAAAAATCATTTTAACGGGTGGGAGGGGTTTGCCGTGGATGTGGTCAAACTAAATGGCTATTATGGATTGCCAGAATGATGGGTAAAAGTCATGAATGGTTGATTGCTATCCCATTACTTTTGTAGAGACACATGGTTCCCGATATAAAGGTTTATGTTTCAGGTGTTTCCAGTGTTCTCTACTCTCTGCTCTGGTAGAGACACTTTATCAAGGAAATCACCTGGTATAAGAGAACTGAGGGCAAAAAGAATGTGCTTAAAACTGAAAAAATACCTAACACTTTCCGTATTCTGGGTATATTGAAATGCATTGAAAATCTGGCATCACTTCTTTGCATGCTTCTTTCCCATTGTTTATAGTTGAGATGTGGCCACTTGAATGCTTAAGAAGCAAATCTCTCTAGATCAGTAGGCCTGGGGAATACATCCTTCAAAGAATGGGAAATCATGCTTCATTAGAGGTTTCTATAACAGGACTTGCATGCTGTGAAACTTCCATTTCATTTCCCAGTTTAAATATATGATAATAGAAGCAGCAGGAGCAACAAGCAATTTCCCCAAAGAACATTTTTAATTTTTTTTCTTTAAACCCTCCAACAAAAACATTCACTATTGAGGTTGGTTTTTGCCCGTGTGTTTCTTATTCATAAGAGTTTTCTCAGATAGTTGACCTGTACTTAGAAAACTGTTCTTGTGGTTGAAGTGCAAGATGCAGTGGGAGAAAAAGCACTGCCTAAACCGTGTGCCAAAGGG